CTAAAATTAAAAAATAAAATAATATAAAAAATTTCAATTTTGTTACTACTCCACATCTTAATTCTACACATAAGTAAGGTTGCCAGATTTTAAAATAATTGTAAAAGGACACTTCACACTAACAATCAAATAAAATAATTAACACCTCAGTTGTTGATTGTAATGCACAACACTGAGGTGTTAATTATTTTGTCAGATTTATGTGACTAGATTATAGGACACTTAATACTGCCATTCTCCAACTTCCATTCCACACCATTTCATATCAAAAAAGTAAAATTCAATTATTTTTTTAGTGTAAAATGGATGANGTTAATTATTTTGTCAGATTTATGTGACTAGATTATAGGACACTTAATACTGCCATTCTCCAACTTCCATTCCACACCATTTCATATCAAAAAAGTAAAATTCAATTATTTTTTTAGTTAATATTAATAATTAAACATTCTGTTTATATATTTTTAAATTTTAACTTAAAATATTTAATAGTAAATCAATAGGAAGATTATATACAGAAAGGCATATGCTATGCAGAAATCCTCCGCTGCCATTGGCAAAGGCATTGAAAAATAATAATAAAGGACAAACTGTATCATTTCTCATTTCAATAAAAAATAAGAACAGTTTTGCTAAAATAAAAGACTTCTGGTAACCCTACAAATAACTATTAAATTAGGGTTGATTCGCTATATAATTTAGAAATCATTCAAAATTTTACAAAAAATCAACATACTGTTTGTTTGAATCCAATAGCTGTATGTTGTGGAGCTTTACGAATAGCTTGCAGTAAATTTTTATGAGCTTTGGTATACTCTAGTTGAATTGCATTAATACGACCTAGAAAAAATTACATTAAAAATTAAATATATCAAACATTGAAAATTTTATTTATTTTTATTTTAAATTTTATGCATTACTTATGTATATAAATATGTATTAATATATACAGTACTAGCTGTTACCCACAACTTCACCCAGTCGGATTTTGCAAGCAAACACTATTTATATTCAGTATTTCAACAACCATAGTAATTGTTATATAACACCTACCGCTGAGAATGATGAGAATTGCTGAGAATCAAATGAACTGTTTTCAATTTAATCAATTTTCTGGAATGTTTACAATTGTTCTATAATCGAACCAATATGCAATAACAAATTCAAATTTAAAATGGTTCGAACATTTGGTTAAAAAATCAAAATACATAAAAAATATTTATAACAATGTCTGAAATGTTATCAATTTAATACACCTAAGTACTCAATGAAGACTAAACATAGTTGAAAACAAAAAATCATATCTAAAATAGTACAGTAGAAGCGGTTATCGCTCGGTACCACCTATCGCGTAAGTTTGGGGTATTACTGTATTTGATATTTTTATTCCGCTCTCCGATTTTATATTACTCACTGATTTCAATGTTAAACCGGTGATATTACGATTTCGTACACCCCATCTTTAAGGGGATGCAGAAGAAACAGTGCACAATTCTTGTATAATGTTAAAAAATTAACTGTTACTTTGACAGCATCATTTACAACTAAATTTAATGAATGAGAAAGATGCACCAGGTACAGAAAAAGCTCTAGAATTTATTTTCCTTAACGATTTATGTATCCGTTTGTCATAAAAATTTCTTTTTCCACTTTTTTCCCAAGATTACAAATATTCGAGTACAAAGTAACCAGTTTCGACTTATTTCTACTTAAGAAGAAGTTAAATAATTAAGCGATTAGGGAATTAGAGACATAAACAAAACCCTGACAAAAGAGCTGAAATTTTACTTAAACAAAAGCTTAACCGTACCATCTCTAGCCGAGTACAGTGGGGACTGATTTCTTCGTATTATTAATGTAATAAAGACAGAAATTTTTCCAGTTCAATGAGAGTGACCAAAAAGTTGTAAATTTTGGAAATTTCCATGGACAACACCTGGTCCTAAAACAAATTAGTTAGAAAACAAATGACGGACAATCTATTAAGTTCAACATATTTAGATTTTTACAGCTATGATGAGAAATGTTTAAAATCTACAACAGCCCTGTCGCATCCTTTGAGATATACTAGTGATGCGACAAAAGAGGTATTTGACATTGACCAGTATCGGCACCCTGGGGATTTGGCAGTCTGCGTGTGTGCATGCTCTGCAACCGTCTTAGATTCCATCCATTAGCCACTCATAGGGAGCCATTTGACTAAGTGCATTGTCTTAAGATTTAAAAAGTAAAGAATATTTTATATTTTTATGTACATTTCTTTACAAAGCTATATTTAATTATAACTTTCTTTAAAAGTTTATTCATACAATTGAAGAATATTTTGTACCAGGTATATACCGGTACATCCATCACACATTTTATTTCACCAAGTAAGTTTTTATTATTTTATTTTTAATTGTAGTCATTATATCGTGGCTAGCGATTCAGAATGTAATTGTGATATTAATAATGCATTTAGAGAAGTCTACAGTTTTTCTGGCTTATCGAAGAAACGATACAAATGGACCCTAGACCATCAATGACGCGCAATTGACTGATTGTCCCTAGATGTCAGCTTCTTACAGAAACACAGCTTCCCTATCATCAAATGTCACGGCACACCACTGGCACGTATGTATCTAGCAAATACATGGTGTTTTTTTAATTAAATTTCTCAAAAATAAATAACAGTTGAACTGCAGGCTTTCTAGTATTCCTCAACTGATAAGTTTAAAATTACCGCGGGAATCGCTTCAGAACATATGGCCTTTTTCCCCAGAGAAATTTTACAAGAACCAATATCTTACCACCACCTGCAATAAACTTTCTCGCAGCACAAGAGTGCTGTACTCTCATGATTGTTGCACATACCAATGTAGAATATTTAACCTTTACCATAATGTTATACATTGTATCTTTTTCTCCTGGTTTCAATGACAGGATCAATCCCAATTCATTTCAAATAAGTCATTGCAGCTATTTTGACAATGCCGCAATTTCCTCGCTTCAGTGTTAGCCTCACTGTCTCCCAATCAGTTGCATGATAAGAAATGAAACACTTTCAATTTTTCAACAATTAAAATTTATGTTCATTACATAGCAATACCATTTAGTAATTGTGACCTAAACATTTATTTGGTAATTTTATCAATATTTTTTTAAATAATTAAAAATAAAATTACAGAATTCAATACTGGCAATACTAGTTGTCAAATCTAAAAGAAAACATTCCCGAGTACAATAAAACAATTTGTTAATCATTCGACCTCACATCTGACAGAGAAAGGAGTTTATGAAAAAGTAATAAAATGATTAGCAGTTTGTTGTCCTTCACAGTGGGAGACTGGCAGATTGTACTTTCACAGGAGAAAATATACAAAGCTTTACTACCCTGAATTTGAAAAATAAACAATCCCGTGAAATTTAACAAATATGATGTCAATAAATAAATGATGAAATTATTCATAGAGAGTTGATATATATGATAAGTTTAGTTTTTTGCATTTATAGATCAAATTACAGAAAATATAAATAAAAATCTCAATTTTTAAAAACTACAATCATAAAACTTTGCTTACAAATGATCAAGATGCAATGCTTTTTATTTTTATAATCGCTTTGTTTTATTCAGACATACAGATATTATTCCTATATAGATTTATAATTATAATAAACATATTTTAATGTAATTTTACACAATGTAACACTAATTAAACATCTGAAATGAAAAAGTAATTGAATCAAGTCCCGCTGCCATATTAATTAATGCGCCACAGTAATTAATATGGACACAGACATGCTCAGAATCGATTAATTACAATCGATTCTGAGCATGTCCAATTGCATCAAATTAAATAATTTATAAAAATTAAAATAATATAATCAATTATTTTATAAACATATTTATCTGTTTGCAATAATAACGTAAAACATACTATTAGTAATCAATAGGATGACTATCATGCCAAATTAATGTATAATAATAACAAAAATAAAACACACTATACTTATAGTTTAGCATTTCCAACAATATTTAATTTATTTTTGAATTTTAAAATCTAAGAAAAACATTCTTTTTTAAATTAAGTTTTATACATTTAAAGCTGCAACTTCAGATAATACAAAGATATAAGAATCCATCAAAAAGTTAATTAATAATAATTAAAATCGAAAAATAAATAAATAAATAAAACTTTCAAGGTAAGGAACCTTGTAAGTAATAAGTAAAACTTTCAAGGTAAGGAACACTTGTAAAAAGTCAAGCATGCAATCACATGAAGCCCATCTCTCCACTTTGTGTAACCAAACAATCAAGGTTGAAATAAAAGCCTAAACCCCAGTAGAAGTAAAAACAAATATTGGCTTATGTCTAGGACAATAAATTTGAACAGCAGTGAAGATGAAACATGACATCATGTAATTTATGCTAATTACCTTCTAGTATTAAAAAATTAAAATCTTCAATAAATTATAATTGAATTAACTATTTTTTTGACTGAGTTCAACTAAAAACGTATCAAAAAGCTAGATTAAAGTGAAAATAGCAGTTTTTCGACGTTAAATATTTACAAATTAATTTTTTAATTTGATGCCGGATTGACTGTGGGTGTGCAATTTATATTCGAATGAGCATGAGCATGATGGGTTTTAACTGGTTGGAACCAAACGCTCCATAGCATTTATTTATATGTTTCTCATAGCTTGAATGTTGAAAGATTGCAAGGAAATTTACTAGATACACTGATGTTGGAAGCATACAACATATAGAAAAGCTCCGGGTCAGACAACCTATGTCCCCAAGATGACACCACAGAACCATTTGAGTTAGTTTTAAGCATGCACTTTGCTTTGCTCATGGTTTACCAGCGGCATGTCATGACATTTGATGATAGGGAAACTGTGTTCCTGTAAGAAGCCAACTTCCAGGGGCAACAGTTAATTCTCTAAATATATTTTTAATAGATTATTTATCTGACGTACTTAATAAATAAACAAGTTCAATATAATTACCTCTGTTATTAGATTCAATAGATTCCCTATGCCCTCTAAATGCCAATTCTTGCTTTGATAAAAACATATAACATCTATTAATTTAGATAAAATATATCTATTAGCTGTAATTACATTGTTATAATTTTCAATATTTATTTTATATTATTTACTAATGTTAAATTCTATTCCGCTTTGATTTCCAAATTGCTTCGAATACAAAAGAATCGACGATTTTTTGTGTTTTTTGCCAGCTAAATTGTCAAAGCCATTCTTATTCCACAGACTAATTTCATTTGAAAATACAGTAGTAGGCAAGCCAACAAAACAATTTTTGCATTTTTATGCATCTACAGAGCCATTTTATCATGAAAATGTCAAAAATTTTTATTGAAGTGTTTATATTTAACTTAGGCATTGGCCTTTCTCTTTTAATAATGTTTCTTTTTCATTATATGATTTTGAGCCAAAACTTTTTTAAAATAAATTTTCAATATTGCAATTACATTCAAAATCGCTAGCCACGATATAAGGGCTACAATTAAAAATAAAATTATAAAAACTTACTTGGTGAAATAAAATGTGTGGTGGATATACATACCTGGTACAAAATATTCAATTGTATGAATATACTTTTAAAAAAAATTATAATTAAATATAGCTTTGTAAAGAAATGTACATAAAAATAACATAAAATATTGTTTACTCTTTAAATCTTAACCACTTAGTCAAATAGCTCCCTATAAGTGGAATCAGAGAGGATTTTGGTAAGTGTGCAGTGTGTGGTGATACTGGTTAATGTCAAATACCTCTTTTGTCGCATCACTAGTATATCTCAAAAGACGTGACAGGGCTGTTGTAAATTTTAAATGTTTCTCACCATAGCTGTAAAAATCTAAATATGTTAAACTTAACAGATTGTCCGTCATTTGTTTTCTAACTAATTTGTTTTAGGACCAGGTGTTGTCCACAGAAATTTCCAAAATTTACAACTTTTCAATCACTCTCGTTGAACTGGAAAAATTTCTGTCTTTATTACATTAATAATATGAAGAAATCAGTCCTCACTGTACTCGGCTAGAGATGGTTCGGTTAAGCTTTTGTTTAAGTAAAATTTCGGCTCTTTCGTCAGGGTTTTGTTTATGTCCCAAATTCCCTATTCGCTTAATTATTTAACTTCTTAAGTAGAAATAAGTCGAAACTGGTTACTTTGTACTCGAATATTTGTAGTCTTGGAAAGACAAATTTTTACGACAACTAATACATAAATCGTAAATTTAAGGAAAATAAATTCTAGAGCTTTTTCTGTACCTGGTGCATCTCTCTCATTCATTAAATTTAGTTGTGAATGATGCTGTCAAAGTAACAGTTAATTTTTTAACATTATACAAGANTATATATAATTACAAAATATACTGTATTATTTATTGACAGTAAAATAAAAATAAAAATTATACTCACACAAAATAAAAATAAATTCAATGCAATTTTTGACATTGCTTTCCTTTTATATCTACTTTTATGGTACTAGTCTTAATTGTAAGAATGTTAGTTAAATGGGAATTACTCAATCTATTTCTTTCAGCAGTTTTCATGTTTCTCATGCATGAAAAGAGTTGTTTACAACAGTATGTACTACCCCACATGCATAACAGTTTTCTAGATAAAACAATTTTCCAGCATCAATTATGTATGTCATTACGACATCAAAGTGTATCCAGTGAAACAAGAATAATTTTTACAACATACTTTACCAAAATAAATGAAAATGTACCTAAAAAAATTTAGAGTGCAGTGGGCTGCAGGTTGGACATCCCTGGTCTAGTAGATGACGACATCGGCGTTTACTGATTACATTCCCATACAAAAATTATTTTACATTGTATTGATTTTTCTTTTGCAACAATTTTTAATTGTATATTTGATTTTTTCACAGAACACTTGAAGTGGCTTCACGGAGCACCCATGTTCCTCAGACCACAGATTGCAAACCACGACCCTAGACTATTACATTTGGGCAACTTATTACTTTTTGGGCCAATTTAAAAATAATTTGGGCTATATTTTGAAAAATTCCACTTTACCTTATATAAAACCTGTATCTAGTAACCTGTGTGACTTTGAAGTTCTCACCAGACATTTGCTGTTTACTTGAAGATTATTTATATTATTATTAGCAAGGTTGCAGCTGAAGTTTTCAATGTGAAAATGTGTACGTTGGACATGCGGCACCGCCATCCTGTAAGCCTAGAAGTTTGACAATGGCATTTGGAATGTCAATGGAACCATTCTTGACGTTCCAAATGGCATTGTCAAACTTCCAGCCTTACAGGATGGCAGTGCCAAACGTCCAACGTACACATTTTCGCATTGAAAACTTCAGCCGCAACCTTGCTAATAATAATATAAATAAACTTCAAGTAAACAGCAAACGTCTGGTGAGAACCTCAAAGTCACACAGGTTACTAGATACAGGTTTTATAAAAAGCAAAGTGGATTTCTTCAAAGTATATCCCAAATTATTTTTAAATTGGCCCAAAAAGTAATGAGTTGCCCAAATGTAGTAGTCTAGTAAACTTCATCATACCTTTAAAATGCAGTCTATTTTGGATAGTTATCTAACGTTTTCGTAGTAGTCTAGAGCCATGGTTGAGAATGTCAACCACAACCTCGCTATTATCATCGTTAATTATCAATTAATGAAAGTAGCATTCTGTATAAGTTGCCGTATTTCATTTGCTTAATAAATTACATCAGTTATGTGGCATTTGACATATTGTACAGAAATATGTAAATCTCGAATAATTCAAAATCTTATATATATCGTCCTCTGAATTTCAAACTAACGAGGATTTCCTGTATATACATCTGTTTCTGCTTGTTATGGAAACCAAAGCCTATTAATTTTATTAATTGGGAACATTTTCAATATCATAATATAAAACTTTAAAACAAAACAAAATTAAATTAAAATTCGGTTAAAGTCCAGATACGTATACCGTCATGGCAGCTCATCTCTGATTCCAGCAAACAGAAGGAAACAGTGGGGACGCACGCTCTAACCTAACCTAACCTATTCTAATAATTTAATTGGTAATAATTATGGTAATTTATTAGAATAGGTTAGGTTAGGTTAGAACGTGCGTCCCCACTGTTTCCTTTTTTTTGTTTGCTGGAATCAGAGATGAGCCGCCATGACGGTATAAGTATCTGGAATTTAACCATTTTTGTGTGTTGGTATAGAAGTATTTGATTTTTTCACCAAATTTTGATGGTCCCAAACAGGTGACAAAACAAGAGCTGAGTACACTTCAAGGACATAGTTAAGTGTAAGATATCAAAAGCAGAATAAACATTTTTAGACAGTTATTTATCGATAATCAAACGGTACCCCCAATTTATATAATCTATGCTAATTTTACCTTAATTTCTGTAAATTAACGGGATTTTTATCGCTTCCTAGTAAGTTGCCAATATCAAATTCTAATTCGATAGCTTTTTCAACAGAAATATTTCTCACATTATCTTCTTGAAGGAGAATTTTACTCACGATATCAGCCATGTTACACACGTGGTTAAAGTTAAATTTCTAGAGAACCAAATTAGCAAATTATTTTTTAAAACTAGCCAACGTCAAAATTACCGTATTACCAAATAAACGAAAATTCAATTACATATATTTCTATTTACAGAATTTTCAATTTACCTACCTAAATAATAAAGGAATCGAGCCCATTCATTATTTGATGCTACTTCTGGAAAAGCAGATTTTTCCACAAGTTTGAATGCTTGATAATATAAATTATAATGTAGATAATTTCTTAATAGGCAGTTTAAAAGTACTGCTTGACCTTCAAAATCATTTCTTAATGTAGCTGTTCTCAAACGACCATGAAGGAAACTGAAACAAAAAATATAAAAAATGGCTTATTCTTTTATTCATTCCATTTTGAAACATTAATTCTCATTATTGTTGATTAATTGAGATTATCAAAGCTACTACTAATGATACAAAACACTTCAATGATCAATACTGGTATAGCAATTAAAAGTACAGTCAAACCTTGGTTCTCAAACATAATTCAATCCTACAAGTTGTTCTAAAACCAAAACAAATTTTCCCATAAGAAACAATATAAAATAGATTAATCTGTTCCTGATCCCCAAAATAAAACCTTTTTTTTTTACCTCTATTCATTACTTTTTAAAAAAATGTTCATTAAAATTTCTTGCATTTAATTAATACTGTTAAATACAATGCTGAATGCCAATTGTATACTAATGAAAAATGATTAAAAAAATTATATTTAATAATNATATATATATATATATATATAATTATGAATTATGGTGTGGTGTTTCTATATATATTTTTTTTAAAGATTGATTTAAAAAAAAACAAGTAAAATGGCAAAACCATATTTGGGACAAGACTATGTCTCGGAGACTCACTACTAAGTAGAATCACTTTGATGCTCAAGGCAGGTCTCGTTCTCATTCTCCTATCTTCTTTCACATTGCTGCTTTTGGGCGCAATCATTCAAACTTCACCAGCCACAACCACGAGATCGTCCACGATGCATCTTTGATGAAATCAACTTATCTAATTTCAAAATTTCTCTCTGTTGCATGTCTGCCCAGGTTGAATTTTTGTTGATGCGTAACGAAAAGTTCCCGTTTTTGAAAAAACTAATCGTGGCTATTGTATCGCCCAAAATTATTTTTTTATTTTGCAAAAACAATATACAGTTTAACCCGATTATAATGTCATTGAATGTAACGACAACCCTAATATAACGTCAAATTTTTATCGGTCCTACGATTTTATTATACTAGATAATGTTAAAAAAAGCCCGCTTGTAACGACATAAAACCATTTTAACGTCATATTTGAAGCACTCTCAAATTTACAAAATTAGATTACAAATTTTATTTAACATAGAAGAAACTACGTGTTCAGTCCTAAGGTCCGAGTCCACTTCTTAGAATGACCGTGGATAGTACTCTCCCCTACCTGACTTTGGTGGGGTGAGGTGGCTGTTTTGCCTGTTTGTAGAAGAGGGTTGCCATTTTGTATTTTATTTTGACTCGATTCTCAGTTTCCTGACTATCTACAAGTCTGAATTTTTTTATGCGCAAATGATTTGGGCACCTAATACTCTGTGCCAAATATCAACTCTCAACATGTACTCCTTCATACCTATATTCTGGTAAGAACAGGTGGCAGTACGATTTTATAAACAAGATATAGTCTTGTCGTCAATATATAAAATATTCAGCTTAAAATCATCATGGCACTTTTCTCCATGAAAAAAAGAAAAAGTTGCACCAGGAATTGATGAATCATCTACAAAATATTTGTTGTGAATAGTCTATATTGGAAATGTGAGTAAGCCATTGGAACAATTGAGCTGAAATGAACAGCTCATGAAATGAAGGGCAGCAAAGCAATGAGATTTAGCAGAAGAGAACACTTCCACAGGGAGTTGAGCAAAGGGGAAGCAAAGTGAGCAGGAAAATGCTGAGTTGAGCAAAAGAAGCAAAATGGATGGAAGGGGTTTGATTCCAATACAGGGTTGAGTAGGATGTAAAGCAAGTTGAGGGTGAGCTAAAATGGGAGCAGGAAGAGGATGAGCCAAAGAGGTTGCCTCAAACCCAGTGTTTCCCAATCTTTTTTATGCTATGCCCCCACCTAAGCCTTTCTAAAATTCTTAAGCCCCCTAACATATATATCAGCTATACGATTAACTTAAACTCTGGACAAGTNACGATTCTTTTATGTATTTCTGTCATGAAATTCCCACACTCTCTAAAAGAAACTTCCGTTATTGTCGGATATTGTCGCTTTACTACTATAATAGTATTATTATTATTATTATTAAATATTTTTTAAAAATTTTAATTTTTCAGAATCAAAATTTTTATATTTTAGAGTACAGTATACGCCATTTATATGTAATATAAATATAAAGTCCGAACCTTTAAAAACCAAAATTTTATATATAACTTTTATTACGTTAATAGTATAAGTACGAATACTGCCGCAATTTTTTCGCCGTAATATAGGAATCCGAACTATAGGAACCCGTGTTATAGGGGGGTCGACTGTATTTACAGATGACTACTTACAAAATAAGTACCTTTTGTAGCTACAATTCTGCCAACGTTCGTACTATTTACTGTTTTTTTTAATAACTTTTTCCACCCTGTGGCCTATTATGGATTCGGCGCCTACAATGAAGCGTTCAGGTGCTGATGGATGGGGCCTAATATATCGGAGATAGACCATCCTGAAAAATTCCTAGTGTTTTCGACCTGTAAGGAATCGATTCCGGGTTCTCCAAAGCGATATGTTGACACTTCAGCAGCTCGGCCATCGGCATCAGCATGCTACTCTGTAAAACTCGGAAAGAAATTTTTTATGGAGGATCTGTTCTGGATACATCAGATCAGGAACTTTATAAGAGAGCGTAAAGGATGTGCAGTGCATGCAGATACTTTCGACAAGGAGCGCTAAAAGGCGTTTCTAATTAAGTGCCTGATTTGAATTATAAAATGACAAAAAATGGAATAAGACGTTACTTTGGAAAAGTAAAATTGCGAGCTTCAAGGGTGCGTGTTAATGCTTTTATTATATATTTATATGGATTTATAGTATTGCAGGATCAAACGTGCGAAGTGGCCTAGTGATGAGTTTTTCGTCCGGCGTGGAATAAACTTTTATATACTAGTATATAACAACGTTGTCAGACGTTCATACCATCCAAACTCAATTCAAACGAATTTTTATAGTGATCAAAAAATAGTAATTTATGGAATATTTACACTAATTCGTAAGGGTCTGTCCATAAATTTCGTACACACTGGAAAAGGGAGAGGGGGTCATGACAAATCGAACAAAATCGGACAAGAGGGAGGGAAGATGTTGAACTTTAATGGACGTTCGTTTTATTTCGTTAAATTTTATACAGTTCATGCATTTTAATATTTATAAAGTGATAAAGGTTTTTAGGTGGGTTGAGTTTTGTTGGACGTTCATAGAGGGGAGGGGAATACGGAAACTTGGACAAACTAAGACAATGAGCAGGCGTAGTAAAAATTTCAAAAAAAAAAAAATGCGAACATAATTTATGGATAGCCCCTAAGAGACGCAAAAAAGCGGACGCGAGATAACTCAGCGACGGCGTTGTTGGGTCCTATCCTCACCATCCGGCAGCCCCATTGGCATAACCGAACTCATCTATGGCTTGGAAAAAAAGATTTATTAATGACAACATGGCGGAAAGTGTTTAAAAAGTTTCGTACTTTTTCTACAAAGTGAAAATGGATTAGATAACATTGATTGATTTGTAAATTTTATTTATAATCTCAGTTGGCAACATGTCAGCGAAAGCAGGACTGGAAACATGTTCTAGAAGAAAGCCACTTTGGCATGAAAGTCCAACCAGATTAGTTGATGTATATATGCCGTGTAATAAATTCAATCTCATTATGGAGTCAGATTCCTATCTTGATTATTATAAACTTTTCATGCAACACAGTTTCAAGGGTGTATCGAGAATGATGAACGAAGAGAAAACAACAAATCATTGGCACTCCTGTAGTAGAAAATTGCATATTGATGAAAGAAGTCAGAGGAAGATAGTAAAATCGTGCAAGAAAACAGATAGCTATTTAATTTCACAAATCACTTGAAATTTCAATCTTGGTAGGCAGAATAAAATATCGCACGAACAACTAGCCACATCTTATCACAAATGAACTACAGCAGTCCACGGCCAGTTTGGGTACAATTGCTATCAACAAAAAACAAGAAAGCACTCTTGCGGTGAGCACAAAAATATCAGTGCTGGATCATCAAAGAATTGGGGAAAAGTTCCTGGTCTGATGAGTCAAAGTTTATGGTGCATCATGCTCAGAATTTGGTGAAAATAATGTTTTCCTGACAAACGTTGGGTCCCTTCATAACAATAGATTCACATCTGAAATGCCACATCGTACTTAAACATCATAGCGCATCCCTTGACATGTTTACAGTTTATTCTCAATTCGATGATTACTTTAAGCAGGATAAGGCATAGACACACAAACTCCAAATCACTACGGAATGGTTCCAGGAACATGACATGACTATTTGCTGCATTGTCACGTTCATTCGGCGGATTTAAATGCTAATGAACATTTTTGGGATTAGTTGGAAAGGATTTGAAAATTGTTTACTGAAGGCTTATTAATCTATCAAATTTCCAGGACATGCATGACACACTTGTGACAGCATGGTACACCATTTTTATACAATGTTTCTAGCATCTCATAGAAACCCTGCCTAGACGAATTCAGGCTGATTTGAAGATTAAAGGATGCTCAACCCGCCAATAAGTAAGTGTGCCTAGTAAATTAGTATACAGTCGACCCCCAGAAATTTTTACTCATATTTTTCAGAAATTACTTAATGAAACTTTAATTGCATTTTTCTTGAAACAAAAAACGTCATTACATTTCATTATGAACTTCCATCAATTAAGATGAATCAGTTCTGTTAAATTAATTTATTTAAATGAGATGAATCATTTATTCGCGGAATGATTTCCTTTAAGCTTTATCTATCAATATAATCTGTAAAGTATCAGTTTTTATTGATTATACATAATTTTAAACTAGTAAAAAAGTTACCAAAATAAAAATGTACCTTTTTTTTTAGCAAATAACCATTTTATCAAATTTTTATTTAAATTTTTCGATTTTGACACATGGGCAGTCCATTAATTACGTGTACAGTTTAAGAGAGGAAGAGTGGTCGCGAAAAATACATTGTTGTACACGATGGAGGTACAATTGAAGGATTGTCTATACAGTATAGACTTTCAGTGGTATATTAAGAGCAAATTTATATTCCACCAATACCACTGTTATTATCGGTGGAATATAAATTTGCTCTTATAAGTCTACTTACTAGTCATATGCATAAACTCAGGAAATATTTGAAAAATTTTTTAAAATTATTTCTTCAAATTCAGGGGATTTATGAACTTTTGTACGCGTAATTAAAAGGGAGTTTAAGAAGAGTACACTACTGACTACTGTATATAACAGGTAAGGAGAGGATCTAAAGTGGCGCAAAACTGTACAAATAAATTAATGGATGACTCCAATTTGAGAAGCAATTACTAGACAAATTAAAAAGGTAATCGATATCATAAAATATATATGAAAAAACATCACTTGTACGTTCTCATCTCGAAAGGACGAAGCAAGAAGTGATTAGCGACCATATTATATATTAAGTATTCTCATTTATACGATACTATACGTCTCATTATAGAGAACTCGGAAATTTTGATACAAAAATGGTAGTATTTCTTCAGCTTGGTTTCTTACTATACTTCTAGAAAGAAGTGAAAGTAACGTGACTGGTAAATATATTGTATTTACTGATTCGAGAGAACAATAAAATTGATGATAAAAGAATGGAAAACAATATGCAAATACAGTGAAATTATATGTTAATGAATTTAACGTTTCCAAATATTATGTAGACATAAGACATAAAAAAGAAGAGAATCGAATATCATGAACAACTCCCTCGGTGATATTGTTATTTTGAAAAGAGGATAAGGGAGCATCCCGAGGGTGATCTAGTAAGCGTTCTTGAGTATAGTTTAAATATTGCTTCTTAATTCTTGTTTCTCAAAGTATAAACACAGAGAAACAATTAGTATTTTTTTATGTTTGTAATTTCGTTTTTCACAAAATATTTACGGTTTCGCATAAATTTAGTATTATTAAAATTAAAATTTCATGTTAATATTAAATTAACATTCTATAGTATTCTATTTTATATTCAAACTTATTAAAATATAATTTATATATGCAACTTACGCAGTTATTGCTCGGTCCCACCTATCGCGTAAGTTTGGGGTATTACTGTACATATGTTAACTTATTCATTTATATCAAAGTGCCTCTATACTGTAAGAGAACAACAGACCAACAACAACTCTAATTGAGACAATATGACTGCTTTTATAGTAAGACTCTTTTGAGTGTCACCTTACATATAGACTATCTTTTTTTCTCTTATTTCATAAAATACAGCTGGATTTTGAAATTTGAAGATTGAACTACAAAGTAGCAAAGTAGATTGAGATATTTTTAGGGCTCTAGACCAGTGATTCCCAAACTATTTTGAGCCACCACCCTTGGTTCCATAAAGTTATACCCAACATCCCCTAACAAAAAACACCCCAATGCCTTCTAACTCATCTTCTCTTGTGTGAGAAAGGTTTGGAAATATTCTTATAAAAACTTTTCTATGAACCTCACACTTTTGTGTTCTTACTGTACATTGTTTTCCACATCTAGAAACAATTAAATGCAATGTCTCTTCTTACCCATTTTAAAAGAGGAAAGAGAAAGGTTGTCAGTGGCCCTAACCTTCACCTATGGTCACCTTTCAGGACCTGCCTTCCACTGGCTTCTTTTCACCCCATAGATTTACTCACTGTTCAGTAGAACCCACTTTGGTAGCCACTGCTCTAGACCAGTGGTTCTCAACCTTTTTTGAAGTCAGGGAATACTAAACTTTGACATTTTTTTCCACAGAACACACACAATACATCAGCTTTAAAGCACGGGTGGCAAACCTTTTTGAAATCAAGCACACTCGGTCTAGTACAGGGTTGTCCAACCTTATTTTCTAACGGGCCAAATTAGAAATTTACATATATTCAGTGGGCCACAAAGGTACCTTATATAAATATATTTTTTAAAAGTTCAAAATGTGAATATCAAATTTTAATAACAAATATATATATAATTACAAAATATACTGTATTATTTATTGACAGTAAAATAAAAATAAAAATTATACTCANAATCGCATTTTCCATGTGACAAGTGGTCTGACGACGCCAAAGAATAGAGATGGCTTAGAAGGGATGTGGAACTGCCCATGCTGGTGACCAATTCTGAGATAGCCCATACTTTCAGCAACCTAAGGAAAGGGAAGGCACCTGGCGTTGATGGGATCACGGCCAAAATGGTAAAAATTCTGCATCAGGTACAGCCAGGTCTGCTCTATGTCTTATATCAGAAATGTTACATATTGTCACTTCCCAGTGAAGTGGAAGCAAGTTCATCTTGTGTTAATTCACAAGAGTAGATACCTGAAGGATGAACCAAAGTTGTACAGACTGATAAGCCTATTGCCAGTCCTGGGGAAGGTTCGAGACAGAATATATTACCAGCTGAAACAGAGAGAGCTTTTACACCCACACCAATATGGGTTCTGGCCAGACATGTCAACCTGCTGTGCATTACATTGGGTGGTCAACCAGGTTCACCTGAACTGCCAGCAAGTCCTCCATATATTGTTTGTTTTGATAGATGTTGTGGGGGCATTCAACAATGCCTGGTAGCCATCCACAATGGGTGAATTATGAAAGGCAAACCTGCCTACCACTCTCATATCACTTACCAGGAGTTCCTGAGTGACCGTACTGTCGTGTATCAGACTCCAAGTGCTAGGTTTGTCAGGAGACTGCAGAGGGGTTGTCCCCAGGGGTCATGCATAGGGCCCCTCCTTTGGAATGTTCTTGCAGACATGGTGCCGAGGCTCATCCTTCCAGACAATCACCAGAGCCAGATCATTTATCTCAGGTTTGACTTAACACGCTCAAGGCATCAGTAGATAAATGTATAGGCAGCTGCTGGGCGTTAAGAGTCACCTATGACTCGTAGTCTATTTTAATACAGGGTGGCAAGAGTCACCCGTGATGTGTACTATTAAACTAATATATTTTATTGCACCTAATAAAATAATATAGATATATCAAGTATGATGTTTGTAGAATTATGTTATCAAAACATATGCGCTGCCCCACAGAAAAACAAGCAATTATGTCTGTAGCCCTAACTAGACATGTCCATATGAGTCACACGTGCTTCATAATGCCATGAATGTGTTAAGAGTCTAAGACACCCAGTGGCCGCTGGGTATCAGACCAAGCCTATGATTAAGACAATCTCTTTGTACTCTAATGCCATTTGGAGAAGCAGAGATAATTTACTCAGAGTTTGTTATATGAGACAAGAAGGTTGCCCCCAAGGGATTGAGTAAACACAACAAAGCAAGCAGGAAATTGAGCAAAGGGAGCAAAGTGGGCTGAAGAAGAAGTGAAGCAAGTAGGGAAAGATTAAGCCAAGGTAAGTGTCCTGCAAGGGCTAAACAAAGGGAATAAAGCAAATAGAATGGTTGGCCACTTATCTATAAATTATATTATTATTCATATATCCATTGGGACAAAATTTGGTACACAGATAACTCATGCCATCAGGGATCAATTAGTTATACAAAATGAATACAAGATTTCCAAAACATGAAGTAGCAAATCTCCAAAAAAGAAGAGGCTGTTATACACGTTACGGAAATCCTCAAAGGATGTACTTAACAGACGAAAAAAATTCGGATATAACTGGCTGGATCGAACGTAGTAATTTACAAAACTTATTAAAATATTTCCCAACATATAAAGAATTATTTTTATTTAAAGGTGGATAGATAGAAAAAAAAAATCACGGTTAATCCTCAAAGAATTTCCGTAACGTGTATAACAGCCTTAATAGGGAATGTGACCATTCCTGTCAGCCATATATATCCACAATGAGAAATCACATATACAAAGTTCTAAAGAACACTTTTGAGCAATAAACCTCCACTTCTTCACAAACTTATGGCAAATGCCAAAAGGGTTAAAGTGTTACAATTCTAGGATGCTCAATCAGATTTAGGTCTGGAGACCCAGCTGGATCTTTCATTCTACAAATCTCCTCTTTGAGGAAATCTGTGACTAGCTGTGCTCTATGTGGCTTAGTGTTGTCATCCATAAAAGTGAACTGGGAACAAACGGAATTCCAGAAAACTTCACACATGGTTCAAGGATCTCATCTCTTTAGCATTGAGTGGTCAGTGTTTCCCTTGAAGACATGCAGCTATCCAGCACGATGCCTTCCTACATTATTGCTGTCATAGGCAAAAAGATATACTGTAGCTTGTTAATAATCAGTAAATAACACCAACAAAACTTTCAAAATTAAACCAGCAAATATATTTTAATATAAATATGCTATGACAAGCACTGTTAATTATCAGCTTTTTGAAGAATTGAGTAGTTTATAATTTTGATGAGTGCAAACTTCAAAAAATAAAAACAATCTTTCTTTGGACATTTAACACTATTGACATGGTTATTATATAAGGGCAAATGAGCTAACATTTTAAAAACAAGTATTTTTTTATACTTGTTTTTAAAATGATAAATTGTAATATGTTATAGTCTTTGAATCTTGGTACCATCATCACTATAGGAAATCCTCGTTAATTCAAACTTGGATAGTTCAAAATCCCATTAGTTTGTAACTACTTTTGTCCTGACCAAGTATATAGATATTTTCATGTTAAAGAATTCAGTTAGTTCAAAACACAGCTACTTCATAACTCAAAGTGAAAATTCTGTCTGAACTGTAATATATTCTGTAATACCTCGACTTACACGAACCCAGAGTTATGCGATTTTCAAATCTCGTCAATTTGTCTTTTGTTTGAGCATCACGCAATTCCTGATCACTCACTCCCCCACACTATTGTTCAGCTTACATGTTCGGACGTGTCGCGCGGAATCGTCACATAGCTACAATTTATTTTGTGTTATTTATTTCTGTGTTTGTTATATCTACGGAGACTCTAGAGACTCTATGTGGTGATTTCTTGTAACCGTGAACGAATCAAAAGACGAGATAAGATTAACGAGAACATTTATTAGCTTACATATGACTTGGATTTTACACAAATTGCAAAATTATACCCCAACTTACGCAGTTATTGCTCGGTCCCACCTATCGCGTAAGTTTGGGGTATTACTGTACATATGTTAACTTATTCATTTATATCAAAGTGCCTCTATACTGTAAGAGAACAACAGACCAACAACAACTCTAATTGAGACAATATGACTGCTTTTATAGTAAGACTCTTTTGAGTGTCACCTTACATATAGACTATCTTTTTTTCTCTTATTTCATAAAATACAGCTGGATTTTGAAATTTGAAGATTGAACTACAAAGTAGCAAAGTAGATTGAGATATTTTTAGGGCTCTAGACCAGTGATTCCCAAACTATTTTGAGCCACCACCCTTGGTTCCATAAAGTTATACCCAACATCCCCTAACAAAAAACACCCCAATGCCTTCTAACTCATCTTCTGTTGTGTGAGAAAGGTTTGGAAATATTCTTATAAAAACTTTTCTATGAACCTCACACTTTTGTGTTCTTACTGTACATTGTTTTCCACATCTAGAAACAATTAAATGCAATGTCTCTTCTTACCCATTTTAAAAGAGGAAAGAGAAAGGTTGTCAGTGGCCCTAACCTTCACCTATGGTCACCTTTCAGGACCTGCCTTCCACTGGCTTCTTTTCACCCCATAGATTTACTCACTGTTCAGTAGAACCCACTTTGGTAGCCACTGCTCTAGACCAGTGGTTCTCAACCTTTTTTGAAGTCAGGGAATACTAAACTTTGACATTTTTTTCCACAGAACACACACAATACATCAGCTTTAAAGCACGGGTGGCAAACCTTTTTGAAATCAAGCACACTCGGTCTAGTACAGGGTTGTCCAACCTTATTTTCTAACGGGCCAAATTAGAAATTTACATATATTCAGTGGGCCACAAAGGTACCTTATATAAATATATTTTTTAAAAGTTCAAAATGTGAATATCAAATTTTAATAACAAATATATATATAATTACAAAATATACTGTATTATTTATTGACAGTAAAATAAAAATAAAAATTATACTCACACAAAATAAAAATAAATTCAATGCAATTTTTGACATTGCTTTCCTTTTATATCTACTTTTATGGTACTAGTCTTAATTGTAAGAATGTTAGTTAAATGGGAATTACTCAATCTATTTCTTTCAGCAGTTTTCATGTTTCTCATGCATGAAAAGAGTTGTTTACAACAGTATGTACTACCCCACATGCATAACAGTTTTCTAGATAAAACAATTTTCCAGCATCAATTATGTATGTCATTACGACATCAAAGTGTATCCAGTGAAACAAGAATAATTTTTACAACATACTTTACCAAAATAAATGAAAATGTACCTAAAAAAATTTAGAGTGCAGTGGGCTGCAGGTTGGACATCCCTGGTCTAGTAGATGACGACATCGGCGTTTACTGATTACATTCCCATACAAAAATTATTTTACATTGTATTGATTTTTCTTTTGCAACAATTTTTAATTGTATATTTGATTTTTTCACAGAACACTTGAAGTGGCTTCACGGAGCACCCACGTTCCTCAGACCACAGATTGCAAACCACGACCCTAGACTATTACATTTGGGCAACTTATTACTTTTTGGGCCAATTTAAAAATAATTTGGGCTATATTTTGAAAAATTCCACTTTACCTTATATAAAACCTGTATCTAGTAACCTGTGTGACTTTGAAGTTCTCACCAGACATTTGCTGTTTACTTGAAGATTATTTATATTATTATTAGCAAGGTTGCGGCTGAAGTTTTCAATGTGAAAATGTGTACGTTGGACATGCGGCACCGCCATCCTGTAAGCCTAGAAGTTTGACAATGGCATTTGGAATGTCAATGGAACCATTCTTGACGTTCCAAATGGCATTGTCAAACTTCCAGCCTTACAGGATGGCAGTGCCAAACATCCAACGTACACATTTTCGCATTGAAAACTTCAGCCGCAACCTTGCTAATAATAATATAAATAAACTTCAAGTAAACAGCAAACGTCTGGTGAGAACCTCAAAGTCACACAGGTTACTAGATACAGGTTTTATAAAACGCAAAGTGGATTTCTTCAAAGTATATCCCAAATTATTTTTAAATTGGCCCAAAAAGTAATGAGTTGCCCAAATGTAGTAGTCTAGTAAACTTCATCATACCTTTAAAATGCAGTCTATTTTGGATAGTTATCTAACGTTTTCGTAGTAGTCTAGAGCCATGGTTGAGAATGTCAACCACAACCTCGCTATTATCATCGTTAATTATCAATTAATGAAAGTAGCATTCTGTATAACTTGCCGTATTTCATTTGCTTAATAAATTACATCAGTTATGTGGCATTTGACATATTGTACAGAAATATGTAAATCTCGAATAATTCAAAATCTTATATATATCGTCCTCTGAATTTCAAACTAACGAGGATTTCCTGTATATACATCTGTTTCTGCTTGTTATGGAAACCAAAGCCTATTAATTTTAT